CTAGACAACATACATGTGTTATATATGCACTATTATTTAAATGATGTATGCACCACGTTTTTAATAAGAGGTATATTCGCTCTAAATCGCAAAGTTGACGAATATATTTTCCCTAGTAAATTTCTTTGCTTAATTTGTTCTATATATACCTCATCAAAATTATTGAATAATAAAGGAACATAACTAAGATTTCTTCTCTACCAACTTAATTAGTTTTGAACATTTTAGTGCAGAAATGGGTTATGTAAAACTTTTGTTTTTTATGATATTTCCCTTACTCTGTCAACTTGCTTTCTGCTCATCCTTATCTCATTTGTGCCCCAAAGATCAAGCTCTTGCTCTTCAACAAATCAAGCATATGTTTACAATAGGTCATGATGCTTCTGATCATTGTTTCGACATAACAGGCCAATCGATACAGTCATATCCAAAAACTCTTTCGTGGAACAAAAGCACAGATTGTTGCTCTTGGGATGGAGTTTATTGTGACGAGACGACAGGAAAAGTGATTGAGCTCAACCTCACTTGCAGCCAACTTCAAGGCAAGTTTCACTCCAATAGTAGCCTCTTTCAACTCTCCAATTTCAAAAGGCTTGATTTTTCTTTTAATAATTTTTCTGAATCACTCATTTCACCTAAATTTGGTGAGTTTTCTAGTTTGACGCATCTTGATTTGTTGTTTTCAAGTTTTACAAGTCTGATCCCTTCTGAAATCTCTCATCTTTCTAAATTACAAGTTCTTAGTATCCAGAGTACTCCATATGAGCTTAGATTCGGACCTCATAGTTTTGAACCGCTCCTTAAGAACTTGACCCAATAAAGAGAGCTCAACCTTAGCTATGTGAACATCTCTTCCGCCATTCCTCTGAATTTTTCTTCTTATTTAACTACTCTGTACCTTCAGGACACACAGTTATACAGGATATTGCTCGAAGGAGTTTTCCACCTTTCTAACTTAGAATCTCTTGATTTATCATTCAATCCCCAGCTCAGTGTTAGGTTTCCCACAACCAAATGGAATAGTAGTGCATCACTCATGGAGTTATATCTCACTAGAGTGAATGCTACTGGTACGATACCTGAATCATTTGGTCATCTAACTTCACTGCGTACATTAGATTTATTTTCTTGTAATCTCTCAGGCTCTATTCCTAAACTTCTATGGAATCTTACCAACATAGAGACTTTGGTTCTTGGTTATAACCATCTTGAAGGACCATTAGATTTCTCTAAATTTGGAAAGCTGAGGTGGTTATCACTTGGAAATAACAACTTTGATGGCCAACTTGATTTCTTATCCTTTAACATAAGTTGGACGCAACTTGAAGTATTAGATTGTTCAATCAATTCCTTAACAGGTCCAATTCCTTCTGATGTAAGTGGTATGCAAAACCTACAATCACTCACCTTGTCATCAAACCACTTGAATGGGACTATACCTTCCTGGATATTCTCCCTCCCTTCACTTGAATGGTTAGACTTGAGTGATAGCCATTTCAGTGGAAATATTCAGGAGTTCTATTCCTGGATTGCCACTCTCAAAAGATTGTGGCGGTGATGAAAGGGTTGTAACATCCGACAATTTGAAATAACTTGGAAGAGGCTTAGAATTGGAAATAATCATTTCTGGAAGGAATTTAAAATCTGGAAATTTGGCCGTCTGGAAAATAATGAATTTTTGTCCAACTTTGAGCAGTCTTAACTCCTAGCTCAGGTTGAGTTGGGTGTAGTTCCAGTCATGTTTGCAAAGTTCGTGGAATGATCTTTCCAACTCCATCGAGTTTGCTTGTTTCCGAGTTCGTATGAGCGATTTATGCCCTTTGAAAGTTGGGCAGTTGGCAGGGAATCCGTCCGGAAATTTGTAAGGGCATTTTGGTCTTTTCCCTAGACTTTTCTTTTGGATATATATGAGTGTGTTGAACTGATTTTGATCAGTTTGTCTCATTTGTAAAGAGTGAAAGTAAGGGTTTAAGAGTGAAGGGGAGAAGAAGAGGAAAAAGAGAAGATCAAGCTAGTTTTCGTCAAAAGATTGTCGTGGATATCGTCGGGGGTGATCCCTATTAGGTATGTGAGTTCATAGTGTTGGGTTTGTTCTTTCCCCCACACGCCAAGCTCGTTTAATTTCGAGAAAAGATTGTATATGTTTGATTGAAGTTGTTGGTTGGAATTATTGAAGTTGTAGTTGTGTTGTGTTGTGTTGTAGTTCTTGTTGATTTGGTGTATGTTTCCGGTGGTGTTTTTGAGTTGAAACTAGTGTATGTTAAGGGTTTTGATGATCCTAAGGGCTTGGGGGTTGAAGCTTTGAAGTCTAGAAGGTTTAGAGTTGGAGAAAAGGAGGAGAAAAGTCAAGTTTTCGGGGAAAAGGGCTGGGGCGTCGCGCCAGCCAGCGCGCCCCAAGAGGGACTCTGAGGTCCAGCCCTTGGGGCGCCGCCCCTACCAGAGCCCCAACCAGACCTCTCTGAAGTTTGAGGTCTGGTGCTCCGCGCCTCTCAGAGCGCCAAGTCTTCTTATTCTTTCCCCACTTTCTCATACATGTTCCTAGGTATTGTACCTATGTTCCCAAGTTGTTTCCAACACCCCAAGGTACGTTTAAACGTCAAGAACTCGTCCATAACACGTGATCAAACACCTTGAATTCATGATTCCAATTCAAGGAGAGTAAGTTTCCAAGTCAAGGGAAGTTAAGAGTTGAGTCTAGAAGTTCAAGAAGGGAGTCAAAGCAAGTCTTTAAAGCTTTCCAAGAGTCTTTGTTGAATGTTTTAACATCATTTCAAGGCTCAAGAGTTTCAAGTTAAGTCAAGTTTCAAGTTAAGTCAAGTTCAAGTCAAGTTAAGAGTTTCAAGTTGAGTAAAGAGTTTAAAGTTGAGTTCATTTCTCAAAAGTATTAGGGAACTATGTATTCCCAAAGAAGTTTCCAAATGTTTTTACATTTGAGTAAGAAAGGAACTATGATTCCAAAAGAGCCTTTGGGCTAGTTTTCAAGAAAAAGGAACATTGTTTCCAAGTGAGCCTTCGGGCAAAGTTTTGAGTAATTATCTCAAATAAAGAAAGATGTGTTTAAAACACTTATGAGCTAAATTATTTTTGGGAGTAGTCTTGAGCAACGAATTGGGGACACGAGTTCATATAAACTCAACTCTCCATAAGAACCATGCGCCAACATGGGAGTTAACGGGTCATACTTTTTAGATGAATCCGTAAGATTAAGCTAGTGGATCCACTAAGTAAAGTAGTTTCCTATATCACGGCAAGGTATAGGATGGTCCTTGGGTAACGTGAGGTAAAACGTTGTACCACCACTAGGGCTCATGGTGGTGGTTGTCGGTTAAAGAATCTCCCACTAAAGTTATATTACTTTTATATAAGTAAAGTTGAGTTGTTATTGCTATATCTTTAACAAAGCTAAGTTGTTTACACTGTTTTACAAGCTTTATATATTGCATGTGTCGTATTGCTTTATATATTGAGTTCAGTTATTCAAGAATTAAACAGAGCCAAGGTAAGAGTTCTTTTGTACTCCTTTCAAGCTTAAGTTGTGGTTTAGTTTTCCAGCTCGCATACTCGTACATTCAATGTACTGATGCCAATTGACCTGCATCTTATGATGATGCAGACACAGATACCTAGGGCCAACATCCGGTTCGCCGTTGATCCAGTTAAGTACTTCAGAGTCAGCGGTGAGCCTCTTTGCATTCCGGAGGACTCGGTTATTTGTTCTCTCAAGTTTTGTTTTATTAGGATGTCGTGGGGTCTGTCCCAACATCCATCACAGTATTTTAGAGGCTTCATAGACAGTCAGTCAGTTGGTTTGGAGTCTCTCGTCTATGTATATATGTAAATATTCTATTTTGAGACTTGAGTTGCCTTTTTGGCCAGATTTTATTTCAGTCAGGTTGTTTTAAAACCTTGCATTGCATTGAGTTATTCCGCTGAGTTAAGAAAGTCAGGCCAAGGGTTCGCTTGGGGGCCAGCAATGGTCTTCGAGTGCCAGCCACATCCAGGGTGTAGGCTCGGGGCGTGACAAACTTGGTATCAGAGCAAGTTCAAGAGTCTTAGGGAGTCTATGGAGTCGTGTCTGTAGAGTCCTAGTTATCGGTGTAAAGCGCGCCACATCTATAATTGGGAGGCTGCAACATTTAGGAAGATTTCTCATTTCTTTCACCCTCATCTATGCGTTAGAGTTGATCTCTAAAAAGTTTCTGTCTAATTCGTGCTTACGCATATTTCAGATAGTCATGCCTCCACGAAGAGTCGGCAGAGGGCGTCTTCCTAGACGTTATGTGGATGAGCAAGAGTTACCCTATGCCCCGAGAGTGCAAGATCAAGGGGAAGTTTCTAATGCCGACTACAGAGAGGCAATTAGAATTTTGAGTCAAGCTGTAACTACTCAGATTGGTCAGCAAAGGGGAGTTCGACAGGAAGGAGCTGACACTTCTAGGATTCGTGAGTTCTTGGGGATGAATCTTCCGAGTTTCATGGGTTCAAGCACTACTGTGGATCCAAAGAATTTTATTGAGGAGTTGAAAAAGATTTTTGATGTGATGCACGTGGCAGATACTGAGTTGAACTAGCTGCGTATCAATTGAAAGATGTTGCTAGAACTTGTTTCGACCAATGAAAAGGGGGCAGAGTTGAGAATGCACCACCTGCGAGTTGGGCCTGTTTTAAGGAAGCTTTCTTGGGACGTTTCTTTCCTGAAGAATTGAAAGAGACCAAGGTACGTGAGTTCCTCACACTTAAGCAAGAGTCTTTGAGTGTTAATGAGTATAGTCTGAAGTTCACATAACTCTCCCGTTATGCTCCGGAGATAGTTGCGGACATGAGAAGTAGAATGAGTTTGTTTGTTGCGGGATTGTCTTGATTGTCCAGTAAAGAAGGTAGGGCTGCAATACTTATCGGGGACATGGACATATCAAGGTTGATAGTCTATGTGCAGCAAGTTGAAGAAGAAAAGCTGAGGGACAGAGAAGAGTTCAGAAATAAGAGAGCTAAGACCGGTAATGAGTCCGAGCAGCAGAAAGGTAATACGAACCGTCCGTCCTTTCAACAAAGGCAAAGAGCACCTGTTCCATCATCTGCTAGTGCACCTGTACCCAGAAATAAAAGTGGGTACCCTGGACAGAGTTAGCAGAATTTCAGAGCTGGACCTGCACAGTCTCATAACAGTGTGTCACAAGGAAGTAACCAGGTTCTTGCATGTGCTAAGTGTGGTAGAGTCCATCCAGGAAAGTGTCGTCAAGGCCAGACGGGTTGCTTTAGGTGTGGACAAGAGGGTCACATGAAGGAGTGCCCAAAGAACAAGCAAGTTAGTGGAAATCTGGGCAGTAAGGCCCGATCTTATTCAGTTGTCCCACCAGACAGGACGGCACCTAGAGGAGCTACTTCTAGTACCGGTGGAGGAGCAAATCGCCTCTATGATATCACCAGTCGCCATGAGCAAGAGAACTCTCCGAATGTTGTCATTGGTATGATCAAAGTCTTCGCTTTTGATGTGTATGCTTTGCTAGACCCAGGAGCAAGTTTATCTTTTGTAACTTTTTATGTTGCAAATAAGTTTGATGTTCTTCCTGAAAGACTTCGTGAACCCTTTTGTGTTTCTACACCTGTTGGGGAGTCTATTCTAGCAGAAAGAGTTTATCGTGATTGTCCTATTTCCATCAATCACAAGAGCACCATGGCTGATTTGGTTGAGTTAGACATGGTAGATTTCGATGTCATTCTAGGTATGGATTGGTTTCATGTTTGTTATGCATCGATAGATTGTAGAACTCGAGCAGTCAAGTTTCAGTTTTCGAGTGAGCCGGTCATAGAGTGGAGTAGCAGCTCAGCAGCGCCTAAGAGTCGTTTTATTTCGTACCTTAAAGCGAGAAAGTTAGTCTCAAAGGGTTGTATCTATCACTTTGTCCGAGTTGTTGACTTTAGTGTTGAGATACCTCCTTTTCAGTCAGTCCCTATAGTAAGAGAATTTCCAAAAGTTTTTCCTGATGATCTACCCGAAATTCCTCCTGAGAGAGAAATAGAGTTCGGCATAGATCTCATTCCAGATACTCGTCCTATCTCTATTCCTCTATATAAAATGACACCAGTAGAGTTGAAAGAATTGAAGGAGCAGTTGAAAGATCTCCTAGAAAAGGGTTTCATTCGACCGAGTGTCTCACCTTGGGGTGCTCCAGTCTTGTTTGTGAGAAAGAAAGATGGTTCCCTTAGAATGTGTATAGATTACCGCCAGTTGAACAAGGTTACCATCAAGAATAAGTATCCTCTTCCGAGGATTGATGATCTTTTCGATCAGCTACAGGGTGCCACTTGTTTTTCGAAGATTGACTTAGAAGACAGTGAAATTTCAATGGTCTGAAGCTTGTGAGAAAAGCTTTCAGGAATTGAAAAAACGGTTGATTACAACTCCAGTTTTGACGTTACCAGAAGGTACTCAAGGTTTTGTGGTGTATTGTGATGCATCTAGAGTTGGTTTGGGTTGTGTCTTGATGCAGAATGGCAAAGTTATATCTTATGCCTCCAGACAGTTGAAAGTTCATAAGAAAAACTACCCAACCCATGACCTAGAGTTGGCTGCTATAGTGTTCGCCTTGAAGATATGGCGTCATTACTTGTATGGTGTGCAGGTTGACGTATTCACTGATCATAAGAGCCTTCAATATGTGCTTACTCAGAAAGAGCTCAATCTCAGACAGAGGAGGTGGTTAGAATTACTTAAGGACTATGACCTGAGTATTCTTTATCACCCAGGTAAGGCTAATGTTGTTGTTGATTCTTTAAGCAGGTTGTCTATGGGTAGCACCGCCCATACTAAAAAAGAGAAGAGAGAGTTAGCAAAAGATGTGCACAGACTGGCACGCCTTGGAGTCAGCCTTATAGACTCCGCAGAAGGAGGAATAGAAGTGACAAGCAGGGCTGAGTTATCACTAGTGTTAGAAGTGAAAGAGAAACAAGACCAAGATCCCATTTTGCTTGAGTTAAAGGCAAATGTTCAAAAGAAAAGAGTATTAGCTTTCGAACAAGGGGGAGATGGAGTGTTGAGGTATCAAGGTAGATTGTGTGTACCTATGGTAGATGGACTCCAAGAGAGAGTGATGGATGAAGCTCACAGCTCTAGATATTCCATCCATCCAGGTTCCACGAAGATGTATCGTGACTTGAGAGAAGTTTATTGGTGGGATGGCATGAAGAAGGGCATTGCAGAGTTTGTTGCTAAGTGTCTAAATTGCCAACAAGTGAAAGTTGAGCACCAAATGCCAGTTGGTTTGGCTCAGAAAATAGAACTTCCAGAAATAGAAGTGGGAGATGATCAATATAGATTTCATCACAGGGTTGCCAAGGTCTCGCAGGCAGCATGATTCTATTTGGGTGATTGTCGACAGAATGACGAAGTCAGCCCATTTTCTACCAATAAAGACTACCAACTCAGCAGAAGATTATGCGAAGTTATATATTCAAGAGGTGGTGAGACTTCATGGAGTCCCAGTCTCCATTATTTCAGATAGAGGTGCACAGTTCACTGCACAGTTCTGGAAATCTTTTCAGAAAGGCTTGGGGGTTCCAAGGTGAACTTGAGTACTGCCTTTCATCCTTAGACTGATGGGCAAGCCGAGCGTACTATTCAGACTTTAGAAGATATGTTGAGGGCTTGTGTGATTGATTTCAAAGGTAATTGGGATGATCACCTACCTCTCATTGAGTTTGCCTACAACAACAGTTATCACTCAAGCATCCAAATGGCTCCATACGAAGCTCTTTATGGGAGACGATGTAGATCTCCTATTGGATGGTTTGAAGTTGGTGAAGCAGGGTTGATAGGACCAGATTTAGTTCACCAAGCTATGGAGAAGGTGAAAGTGATTCAAGAGAGATTGAAAACAGCACATAGTCGCCAGAAATCCTACACTGATGTTAGGAGAAGGGCGTTAGAGTTTGAAATAGATGATTGGGTATATTTGAAAGTTTCATACATGAAAGGGGTTATGAGGTTTGGTAAGAAGGGAAAACTTAGTCCCCGGTATATTGGACCTTACCGCATAGCCAAGAGGATTGGTAATGTTGCATATGAGTTGGAGTTGTCGCAGGAATTAGCAGCGGTTCATCCGGTATTTCATATCTCCATGTTGAAGAAGTGCATAGGTGATCTTTCCTTGATCCTGCCGACTGAAAGTGTAAGGATCAATGATAGTTTATCTTATGAGGAGATTCCTGTTCAAATTTTAGATCGTTAAGTTCGTAGGTTCAGAACGAAAGATGTAGCCTCAGTTAAGGTCCTTTGGAGGAACCAAATTGTTGAGGAAGCCACTTGGGAAGCCGAAGAGGACATGAAGAAGAGATACCCATATCTCTTTGAATCCGGAGGAAATGTAGGCCAAGGTACTAATTTCCTTCTTAGTGGTCTTTAAATTTTAGTGAGCATGTTGTTGCTTGTTGTTGCTTGCATGAATTGCTTGTTGGGTGTTTAAGTTTGATGTTTCACCCTTAGCCTAGTAAGAGTAACCTCATTCGAGGATGAATGTTCCCAAGGGGGAGATATTGTAACATCCGACAATTTGAAATAACTTGGAAGAGGCTTAGAATTGGAAATAGTCATTTTTGGAAGGAATTTAAAATCTGGAAATTTGGCTAAGTCAGGAAAATAATGAATTTTTGGCCAAATTTGAGCAGTCTTAACTCCTAGCTCAGGTTGCGTTGGGTGTAGTTCCAGTTATATTTGCAAATTTCGTGGAATGATCTTTCCAGCGCCATCGAGTTTTCTTGTTTTTGAGTTCGTATGAGCGATTTATGCCCTTTGAAAGTTGGGCAGTTGGCAGGGAATCCGTCCGGAAATTTGTAAGGGCATTTTGGTCCTGAAGTTGTAGTTGTGTTGTGTTGTGTTGTAGTTCTTGTTGATTTGGTGTATGTTTCCGGTGGTGTTTTTGAGTTGAAACTAGTGTATGTTAAGGGTTTTGATGATCCTAAGGGCTTGGGGGTTGAAGCTTTGAAGTCTAGAAGGTTTAGAGTTGGAGAAAAGGAGGAGAAAAGTCAAGTTTTCGGGGAAAAGGGCTGGGGCGTCGCGCCAGCCAGCGCGCCCCAAGAGGGACTCTGAGGTCCAGCCCTTGGGGCGCCGCCCCTACCAGAGCCCCAACCAGACCTCTCTGAAGTTTGAGGTCTGGTGCTCCGCGCCTCTCAGAGTGCCAAGTCTTCTCATTCCTTCCCCACTTTCTCATACATGTTCCTAGGTATTGTACCTATGTTCCCAAGTTGTTTCCAACACCCCAAGGTACGTTTAAACGTCAAGAACTCGTCCATAACACGTGATCAAACACCTTGAATTCATGATTCCAATTCAAGGAGAGTAAGTTTTCAAGTCAAGGGAAGTTAAGAGTTGAGTCTAGAAGTTCAAGAAGGGAGTCAAAGCAAGTCTTTAAAGCTTTCCAAGAGTATTTGTTGAATGTTTTAACATCATTTCAAGGCTCAAGAGTTTCAAGTTAAGTCAAGTTTCAAGTTAAGTCAAGTTCAAGTCAAGTTAAGAGTTTCAAGTTGAGTAAAGAGTTTAAAGTTGAGTTCATTTCTCAAAAGTATTAGGAAACTATGTATTCCCAAAGAAGTTTCCAAATGTTTTTACATTTGAGTAAGAAAGGAACTATGATTCCAAAAGAGCCTTTGGGCTAGTTTTCAAGAAAAAGGAATATTGTTTCCAAGTGAGCCTTCGGGCAAAGTTTTGAGTAATTATCTCAAATAAAGAAAGATGTGTTTAAAACACTTATGAGCTAAATTATTTTTGGGAGTAGTCTTGAGCACCGAATTGGGGACACGAGTTCATATAAACTCAACTCTCCATAAGAACCATGCGCCAACATGGGAGTTAACGGGTCATACTTTTTAGATGAATCCGTAAGATTAAGCTAGTGGATCCACTAAGTAAAGTAGCTTCCTATATCACGGCAAGGTATAGGATGGTCCTTGGGTAACGTGAGGTAAAACGTTGTACCACCACTAGGGCTCATGTTGGTGGTTGTCGGTTAAAGAATCTCCCACTAAAGTTATATTACTTTTATATAAGTAAAGTTGAGTTGTCATTGTTATATCTTTAACAAAGCTAAGTTGTTTACACTGTTTTACAAGCTTTATATATTGAGTTCAGTTATTCAAGAGTTAAACAGAGCCAAGGTAAGAGTTCCTTTGTACTCCTTTTAAGCTTAAGTTGTGGTTTAGCTTTCCAGCTCGCATACTCGTACATTCAATGTACTGATGCCAGTTGGCCTGCATCTTATGATGATGCAGACACAGGTACCTAGGGCCAACATCCGGTTCGCCGTTGATCCAGTTGAGTACTTCAGAGTCAGCGGTGAGCCTCTTTGCATTCCGAGGGACTCGGTTATTTGTTCTCTCAAGTTTTGTTTTATTAGGATGTCGTGGGGTCTGTCTCAACATCCATCTCAGTATTTTAGAGGCTTCATAGACAGTCAGTCAGTTGATTTGGAGTCTCTCATCTATGTATATATGTAAATATTCTATTTTGAGACTTAAGTTGCCTTTTTGGCCAGATTTTATTTCAGTCAGGTTATTTTAAAACCTTGCATTGCATTGAGTTATTCCGCTGAGTTAAGAAAGCCAGGCCAAGGGTTCGCTTGGGGGCCAGCAATGGCCTTCGAGTGCCAGCCACGTCAAGGGTGTAGGCTCGGGTCGTGACAGGGGTACCATAAGCAAATAAGTTTGCAGATTTTGATTTTGAGATCAAATAAGTTTTATGGCCCTATAAAAGATTCAAGGACTGATAACTTGTTTGCTCAAATTCGAGTCATAGATCTCTCATCCAATGGATTTAGTGGAGATTTACCAGCGAGCCGTTTTGAGAATTTTGAAGCCATGAAAATGATTGATGAGAGCAGTGGAATCCGAGAGTATGTTGGAAATATATATTCTTATTATTACACGAATTCATTGACAGTGACAACAAAGGGACTGGATCTTGAACTTCCTCGAGTTTTGACTACAGACATGCTTATCGATCTCTCAAGGAATAGATTTGAAGGCCATATTCCAAGCATTATTGGAGATCTCATTGGACTTCGTACGTTGAACTTATCTGATAATCGCTTGGAAGGTATTATACCAGCATCACTGCACCAATTATCTGTACTTGAATCATTGGATCTCTCATCCAACAAAATCAGTGGAGAAATTCCACAACAACTTGCATCCCTCAAATCACTTGAAGTCTTAAATCTCTCTCACAATCATCTTGCTGGATGCATCCCCAAAGGAAAACAATTTGATACGTTTGAGAATAGTTCATACTAAGGGAATGATGGGTTACGTGGATTGCCACTCTCAAAAGATTGTGGCGGTAACGAAGGGGTACCACAAGCAACAACTCCATTTGGGAAAGATCAAGAAGAAGAAGAAGGATATTCAACAATGATAAGTTGGCAGGCAGTTCTCATGGGTTACGGTTGTGGATTTGTTATTGGACTGTCCATAATATACATAATGTTGTCAACTCAATATCCAGCATGGTTTTCAAGGATGGATATAAAATTGGAACACAAAATTCTTATGAGAATGAAAAGGCACAAGAAAAGACATTAGTATGTAACCTCCAGGTATTCAACTTAATCTCTATCCTTCAGAAGATTACATTTTATATATCCATAAATATTCTACCTCCTTCATTGTTAAAGCTTTTAACTTTAATTCTTTATTTTTTAAAATTGCAGGATTCAAGTCTACTGCATTGCTGGGATGTGAATAAAAGCTTATACTTTCATAGTTTGTGATGTTTCTTAAAGTGTTTGTGTTTTGTTTCATCTAGGGTTTGTTACATTTTATATGTTTCAACAAATTCAGCTTATTCAATTGCGAGGAAAAACCATAGAATTTCATATTAAACTGTAATATGAAATATAAAACGTATTCCGATTTCTTGCATACTTTGAAATATAAAAAGTATTCCTCGATATTGATAAATTTATAATAACTTGAATACAATAGAGTTGAAAAGTTGGAGAAACATCTTTGGATACTAAGGTTTAAATCGTAGCAGAGATATCACATTTAGGAAGAAATCCAGCAGAACCGCTTAATTTGATGAGTCATCACTTCATCACGATGCAGGCTCATCAACAATTTTACAAATAAACTGTGGGCTGGAACCTTGTGTATTCCAGAATCTAACATTGCTTTTTCACACCTCTCCGCGCCAACACCCAAAATGATTCTGTTGGGACTCAAGCAATAGTTGTGCTACTTCATTTCCCAACTCAATAGCTCCACCAAGTCTACAAGCACCCATCAGAGCTTGTAGGCAGTAGCATCAGCTTCAAAAGGCATATTCTTTATGAAGTCGTACGCTTCCTGCAGTAGATCAACCACACAATCATAATGTTTCATCTTAGCTGCAAATTCGAATTCACGTGACATTGCTTCAAACAATTAGAATCTGAAATCAACAAGCTTGGCACACACAAGCTGATAGAACTGCTATGAAGGTAATCTCATTTGGTTGCAGCCCCTTTTACACCCATGTTGACATACATTGTTAATGCTAGGGAGGAAATCATAGCATTTCCATGTGCAAACCTGCTTGTAGAAGAGTAAAAGAAGTTGATATCAGATTTTTCCCATTTTGTAGCTCAATGCTCGCTACTTGTGTTGTACTGAAGGGATGTTAATGCCTGCAAAATCATGTTCTGTTTTATTACGTCAAATACTTCCCCTGTACACCAATGCCAGATGATGTCAGTGTGGCAAACTTCACTGTTAACTAATGAAAAATATGAATGAAATCCTATTAATTCTCTTGTGGATTTTGTGGATATCCACAGTTGTCGTTCAATGACGCATTCAGGGAGAAGACACCAAGTCTTTCATGTGAAAAATTAAAGTTGATTTGTTGGAGGTACAAAAAATATCTTAGATATTTGGTAGAACTTTCTAGAATTTGGTAGAGTAAATATCTTTGATATTTATACTTAAGAATAATCTAGATGTTCTAGATAATTAGATACTTAGAGTAAAGTATAGAATAATCTAGATTCTTGTTAGATATTTAAAAGATAGGGTCATCTAGATTTTTCTTGTAGATATATCTAGAATAATTTCTAGAAGCATCATATTGTGGACTTGTTATCGGACTGTCCATAATATACATAATGTTGTCAACTCAATATCCAGCATGGTTTTCGAGGATGGATGTAGAATTGGAACACAAAATTCTTACGAGAATGAAAAAGCACGAGAAAAGACATTAGTATGTAACCTCCAGGTATTCAACTTAATTTATATCCTGAAAGATTTTAACTTCAATTCTTCATTTTTGAAATTTGCTGGATTCAAGTCCACTGCATTGCTGGGATGAGAATAAAAGCTTTTAATTTCATAGTTTGTGATGTTTCATAAAGTGTTTGTGTTTTGTTTCATAAAATGTTTGTGTTTTGTTTAATTTTATATGTTCAACAAATTCAATTGCAAGGAAAAACAATAGAATTTCATAGAATGCAAGGAGATCAAAAGGGAAACTGGAATAACAATAGAAAGCACATTAAAAATACCAAAACAATTCCAAATTCTCGTGTACTTTGAAATAGAAAAAGTATTCCTCGACATTGATCAATATATAATAACTTGAATACAATAGAGTTGGTGTAGCCGTTAAAAAGTTGGGGAAACAACATAACCTTGAATACTAAAGTTTAAATCCTAGCAGTGGTGAAACCAGATATCACATTTAAGAAGAAATCCAGCAGAACCGCTTCATCACGATGCATGGCTCAGGCTCATCACAGCTGAAATGTGTGCCACCAGCCCTTGGGGATTTCTCGATTATCAAAAGAATCACGATGCACAAAGCAGAGTTGTGTAGTTACAGAGTTGGCCCATCGAAAATATTACAAATAAAAGCTGCTGCAGCTATCAACACTACGAAATAAAACTGTGGGCTGGAACCTTGTGTATTCCAGGATCTAACATTGCTATTTATCACCTCTCTGGGCCAACATAAATGCTTGAGAGTTGCACATAATGCCCAGAATGACTCTGTTGCGACTCAAGCAATAGTTGTGCTACTTCATTTCCCAACCAAGACAGTAGCATCAGCTTCAAAAAAAAGGCATCTTCTTTATGAAGTCGTAAGCTTCCTGTAGTAGATCAACCACACAACAAATAATGTTTCATCTTAGCTGCAAGTCCGAATTCATGTGGCATTGCTTCAAACAATTAGAATCTGAAATCAACAAGCTTGGCACACACATGCTGATAGAACTGCTACGAAGGCAATCTCATTTGGTTGCAGCCCCTTTTACTCCCATGTTGACATACATTGTTAATGCTAGGGAAGAAATCATAGCATTTCCATGTGCAAACCTGCTTGTAGAAGAGTAAAAGAAGTTGATATCAGATTTTTCCCATTTTGTAGCTCAATGGTTGCTACTTCTTGTACTGAAGGGATGTTAATGCCTGCAAAACCATGTTCTATTTTATTACGTCAAATACTTCCCCTGTACACCAATGCCAGATGATGTCAGTGTGTCAAACTTCACTGTTAACTAATGAAAAACATGAATGAAATCCTATTAATTCTCTTGTGGATTTTGTGGATATCCACAGTTGTCGTTCAATGACGCATTCAGGGAGAAGACACCAAGTCTTTCATGTGAAAAATTAAAGTTGATTTATTGGAGGTACAAAAAATATCTTAGATATTTAGTAGAACTTTCTAGAATTTGGTAGAGTAAATATCTTTGATAATTATACTTAAGAATAATCTAGATGTTCTAGATAATTAGATACTTAGAGTAAGGTATAGAATAATATAGATTCTTGTTAGATATTTAAAAGATAGGGTCATCTAGATTTTTCTTGTAGATATATCTAGAATAATTTCTAGAAGCATCACCACACTAGTATAAATAGGAGAGGGCCTTGTACATTTGTATTCAAGGAAAAATCAAAGCACTTAAAGAGTCTTCTTTCATTAAGTTCTTCTTTCCAAATTCTCTTTTTAACTTTCTAGCTTCCTGTTCTTCTTTAGTTGAATCTTCCGATCTTAGTTAACGATCTTGGGCTAGCAGAAGGGTTCTCCGATTATACTTTTCTTCTGCTATTTTCCAAGTTTGTTCTGTTTGTGCATGAGGCTACGTACGGGTCACGTCTCGCTGCAGCAATCAAGTCTAATTTGGAGTGACTCTACTTGGAGCACCATTGGCATGTAGAACAACGTCCTAACTTGGAGCACTTTTTTGTGGTTCAAATGATTGTCCATCTACAACATAAAGCAGAAGTTTAACTTTAACTGCTAAAGACTCATCCCGTCACACTGCTTTATAAAACAGAGGAATCAATGAAATGACTCCACCCTACTCTCCAACGTTGGCAAAGTCAACAGAGACTGTGTATGTTCCTTCTCTGTTTATTAATTAGCTCTTTCACTGTTTGTTCAACTCCTTTCTCTACGTTAGATCGGGCTGGAGCACTGCACTCTTTCTTTCTCTGGGGTCGATTACGTGCATTGGAACTGAAAAGGGCTCTATTCATATAGGGTGTGTTTGGTACGAAGGAAAATGTTTTCGTGGACAACAAGTTGATTTTTGACTTATTTTCTCATGGGGGGGGGGGGGGGGGTCGAGGGTAGGGGTGAAAAATTGAAATTTTGAAGTTGAAAATATTTTTAAAAAACAAACTTAAATTTTTTTTTTGGGGGGTGGGGGCTGGTAGGGGGTGGGTGGGGGGATGGATACGGGTGAAAAAATGAAATTTTGAAATTGAAAACATTTTTTAAAAACAAACTTAATTTTATTTTATTTTTTGGGGGGGGGGGGGGGGGTGAAAAAAATGAAATTTTGAAATTGAAAATATTTTTTAAAAACGAACTTCAAATTATTATTTTTTTTGGGGGAGGTGCTAGTAGTGTGTGGGTAGGTGTCACACCCCGAGCCTACACCCTGGGCGGGACCGGCACTCGGAGACCATTGCTGGCCCCAAGCGAACCCTTGGCCTGGCTTTCTTAACTCAGTGGAAACCTCAACAGAATAACTCAATGCAATGCAATATTATAAAACAACTTAACTTATAAAATATGGCCATAAAGGCAACTCGAATCTCAAAATAGAATATTTACATATATATATATATAAGAGACTCAAAACTAACTGACTGACTGTCTGTCTATGAAGCCTCTAAAATACTGAGATGGATGTTTGGACAGACCCCGCAACATCCTAATAAAACAAAAAAACTAAGAACACAAAATAATTGAGTCCTCCGGAATACAAGGAGGCTCACCACTGACTCTGAAGTGCTCAGCTGGATCAACGACGTGCAGGATGCTGATCCGGGGTACCTGAATC